TCCGACGGCGGAACTCCCGTAAGGATCTCGACGACTTCATTGGCTACATCACGAGGTGAACGTATGACGACGCATGCTGCATGCATGTGCGGAAAGAAAACATCTGGTGCTTCCAGCGGATGATCGGATCAGTTTGAAACTTTCACAGCATGCAAGGAAAAGAATTACTACTACTATCGAAATTTTGAAAGGATATGCATGCTGTGTCAGAGAGATACAGTATAGTGAATTTTCTGTCTACCTCACGACATGTACACGAATTAATACACGATGAAGCTACCAACGTAGACCTTTCACCTTTGTGGTTGGTTGGCGGTGTCTTCGTTCTTCCATCTCAAATTCTGAATCCGTTTTCACAACAATCTTGTCTGCCCTTGCGTTCCTCTCTCATGCAGGCTGCAGTCCTACTCGATCGCTTTCCTCGTTCCTCCCTTTGCTTTCCAATACTCTTTGACTGTTATAAAGTCCATCTCTGTCTGTCTGCTGGCTGATGCTGCTGTTGGTTGATCAGTCGATTGGAAGAGCTTAGCCAAACACACGCTTTGGTGCGATGGCTGGTTACGCGCCGTGGGTTCAAAGCGGTCGGGAGTTCCAATTCCATTACCACGGTCGCGCGTGTCTCCAAGAACGATTAGTGGGTCGCGTGTGAGGTGGGCCAGTCCTCCCTTGTTAGTAGCGTATTCAGCGGCCCTATTCGCTTCTCTTATAATCCGTCTTTTTTAGCTTGTTTTTTTAGCTGGAACAATGTTTTTCTCTTACAACAAATTAGCCGAAACAATGTTTCGACTTTGTTTTTTTAGCGAAGCTAACGGGCCAGCAAAGTGTTGGCCGTCGGCGCATAGAGACGAAGCGCGAGCTATCCTAGCTAGTACTAACGTACGAGAACGTGCCGTGCATTAATGTATCATATTATGGTTTTAATTCTTTTTGGTTTTTTCTTTTTTTTATTTTTATATAAGTTATTTCATACGTACATAATATTTATATTTCTGCTAATATGTTATGATATTAATTTATACATCTAAGTTCTTAAATATAACTTATATATCTGACTTTACATCTAAGCTATTCATCAAGTTAGATATCTAAGTTATACAAGCAAGTTATTATCGTATAAATTATCCATACTGACTTTATATATATAGCTTTGTTCATCTAACTTTTGTATTTCTAAGTTTTATCATAAGTTATAAGTTAATTCTGTCTGCACCTATGTGTTTTATGTGATGAGACGAGCAAAACCCCAATTCCATTTCAACGGTCGTTCACCCGATTCTATCGCGACGAACGATAGACTGCTAGACTTTCTTTTGGGTTTTTTTGCTTCAATTTTTTCTTTTTCGTTTTTTTTTGTTATAGCAGATCTGCATTTCTGCTGTTGTAGGTTTTTTTCCTGCTTTTGTAGTTGCTGCTGGTTTTTTTTGTGTATGCTTTCTTTTGTGTTTTTTTTTTGCTTCAATTTTATTGCTACCGCTGAAGGTTTCTTTGTGTGTTTGGGCTTTCTTTGTGTGTTTGGGTGCATGTGTGTCTTTGAAGGTGGGTATTTTTTAGCTGTAGTTCTTTTTTGTCCTTCGCCTTCTGAGTGTGTCTGTGTATGTTCTTTGTGTGTGTGAGTGCATGTGTGTCTTTTTGTGTGCCTCTCTCTCTCTCCCTCTGTTTGTGTGTGTGTGTCTTTGCGTTTTTTTTTACTTTTTTATTTATTTTTTCCTTTTTTTCTTTTTCTTTTGGCATTAGTTGTATTTTTCAGAGTTGAATTATGTTTATCTCTGTGTGTATGTCTCTCTGTCTTTATTTGTGTGACAGCTGCTAATGCCTGCTGCTACTACTGATTGAGCTCTTTGGCCTTGCTATTTGTCTTTTTCCTTTTGAAGGTCCCAAAGCCTGCTAATTTGATGTGCTACTGATGTTGTTGCAGTTGATTCTTTTTGTCGCTTGATGATGATTAAGCTTCTTTTTTTTGGCCTTTTGAGTGCCCCAAATCAAATTTGTTTTTTTGGGATCTCTACTGATATTTAGAGTTGACTTTGTTCAGATTTGTATTGATGCCTTTTTTTGCTGCTGGTGTGTGTGTGTTTGTTACTCTCTCTCTCTCTGTGTGTGTGTGTGTGTGTGGGTGGGTGGGGTGGGGGTGGGTGTGTTTTTGTGGGTGTGGGTGTGGGTGTGTGTTGCATGGATAGATAGCTGATTGGAGTATTGCAGCTGCAGGATGTTTTATTTTGGGATACTGCATGATGGTCATGTGGCCTATGGGCTGTATTTTGTTTGTTTGGAGCAATCTATGATTTTGAGATTTCACTAGGCCACATACATGGTAGCTGGTTTGTGAATCATGATTTTTGTTTACTTTGTGAATGCGGTTACTTTGTTATTGCCTAATCACTCAACTCTGCCATGAACTTTTTATCTCCAGATATGTTGGGATGGCATTCCATCTGAGTGCCTTTTGACTTGTGGAGATCAATCATGTTGCAGGTATCGCTGTTTTTTGAGTTTTACCATTTTCAATATTTTTGCCCAGGTTGTTTTTGAGAAAATTGTTGTTCTGACAATTGAATGTCATTAGCTTTGAATATGTAAGAGTAGAGGATTTTTGTGAACTTTGTAGCTCTGGATGTGCTCATGTTTTGCTAGTTTTTCCCTGCTTTTTTTGCTTGTGGTGTATGACTGCTCGTGGCATCCTTGATTTTTGATGTAGTTTTCCGGATGCTTGGTCAGATGAGTAGCGGAAAACCATACTTTAGTTTTGTTCGGCAGCCAGAAAGCATGATCAGGAAGAATGTGGAATGTCTGCTCTTCTCTTTTTGGTGTTTACTCTTTTGGCTCCTTCATATCTGTCCATTTTCTAAGTTAATGGTCCCAATGAATGATCATATATATTAATCCATTTAACTCTGTTTCTTTATGTTTCCCTAAAAGAAAGTCTGAAAAGATCTCATTTAAAGATTCTAGCAACATGCTAGAATTCCTGTCAGATGGTATTGGAGAGGAAGTTGTTAGCCTGTTACTATGTTAGCAATTAAGGTTAATGATGTAAAACTGTCCTCCTATATGCTAGTCAGTGGCTTCCAGAAATAGTAAATAGATTTTTGTCAAGACTATTTTGATCAGTTATGTTTCACAGATTTATGAAGAATATATTTCATATCTTTGTTTTTCCGATTAGAAGGGCGGGGCTGATGCAAGCGGTAGAGTCTTACCGCCTGTGACCGGAAGGTCCTGGGTTCGAGTCGCGGTCTCCTCGCATTGCACAGGCGAGAGTAAGGCTTGCCACTGACACCCTTCCTCAGACCCGCATTGTGCGGCGGCTCTCTCTGTGACCGGTACGCCTTTTTTTTTTGTTTTTCCAATTAGTTAAAGTCTTATTTGCACATGTGTTTAACTGGTCTCTCCTTTATGATGTTTCTGCAGTTATATGTCAAAAATAACAAAATCACTACGTGATCCCTGTGAAGTAGTGAGACAAACATTTGTCCTACTCTCTAAGTTACTGCACGTGCTAATCACTTCTGTAATGCTTTGTTTTGAATATTGGGTCATGGTTAATGAGATTGCTATTTTGTCCAGAGGGACTATGTAAAGTGGAGAGGGGTTCTCTTCCTTTGGTTTCTGCCATCTTTAGTTGATGAGTCTGAGAAGATTAGGCATTTGGCCGACTACCTTTTTGGAAACATCTTAAAAGGTATTTATTTTTGTACTAAACTTTTCTCTTTTTAAGCCACTGACTAACACGTATCAAGTCACTGATTAACATCTGCTTACACTTTGCAGCTAAAGCGCCACTCCTTGCATATAATAGTTTTATTGAAGCTATATATGTTCTAAACGATTGCACTGGACATGGTGTCTATAGCGACTCTTAGTCTCAGGGAAGTTCAGACAGAAGACCTGCCCTTTTTGCAATTCGGTAAAACAACTCAAACTGTTCTCCTTAGTCCTTGCAAGGAAGATGCTTCATTCCTAGCTTAATTTTATCACACTCATTTTTTTCTGCAGTGGCACTGACGAAAGATCGAGATCAAAACGAATGCACATTTATGTCTCTTTGCTGAAACAAATGGCACCAGAGCACCTTTTAGCCTCGTCGGCCAAGTTATGTGCTGAGATCTTGGCAGCTGTTTGTGATGGTTTGCTCAGTGTTGATGATGCTGGTGGAAGGGCTGTACTTCAGGTGGGGATCAATATCTTTAGAACCCAGATGGTTTCCTATCATTATGAACTAAGAAAAGTATCTTGGATATCCAGTACCTAGAGTAGATACAACCATTAACATCGATGAGTGCTTATAGTCTGATTGTCACTTGACTAACCTGCAATGTGCACATGCAGCCTGGGTTTTTTATTCATGCTTCTTATGTTACATGCTTAGTGTGTTAAATGACTAGGAGAGCTAAATGGCTTTCTATGCTGCTATTTTTCCATAGTTGAGATCAGTGGCGGAGCTTGTAAATGGCTTTCTATGCTGCTATTTTTCCATAGTTGAGATCAGTGGCGGAGCTTGTAAATGGTATTTTTCCATAGTTGAGATCAGTGGCGGAGCTTGTAAATGGCTTTCTATGCTGCTATTTTTCCATAGTTGAGATCAGTGGCGGAGCTTGCATGAATGTGTGGGTGGGGGGGGCAATTCAAACGTACATTGCTACAGTAATTACCAATAGTAGTATAGACAATTGGAATTCTGTGAAAAATCTTTATTTTTTCAAGTTCTATCTATATAGACTGCAATGAACAATTGGGATTCTGTCAAAGAAGAATGAACAATGTGCGGATTTACATACTTGTAAGCTAATCAGCAACAGCAAGTATGGCACGAGAGTGGCGGAAATTAATTGCATACATGCAATGACATGCAAACATCTGGAGTGATACAGCCGGAGAAGGGAAAGTGGGTGGGGGGGGGGGGGGGGGGGGGGGGGCAGGACCTAGTTTGGCCCCACATAGCTCCGTCCGTGGTTGAGATGATTTAGTTTTTATTGTCAACAGGATGCTCTGCTTGCAAGGAGATGCACATCCACCCCAACATCTTGTCAGAGAATTCTGAGATGGACGAGGAAGGTAGCGAGGGCGGAGGAACGGCCAGCGTGCTCCTGGCGGCCAAAGGGAGGGCGGTGACCCAGGTCGCGAAGAAGAACCTGATCCAGATCGTGGTCTCGATCTTCATCGAGCTGAAGCGGCTGCTGGAGAGCAAGAACAGCCCGCTGATCGGGTGCCTCATGGAGTGCCCGCGCGCCCTGCTCAAGGACTACAAGAACGAGATCACAGCTTTTGTGATTGTGGAGGATGCTTTGCTGCTGGCTTCTTTGTGGCTAATTTTCGTTGTGAATAAGCAATGAGCTCACAGCTCACGTGCGCTGGCTGGCCTCTGCGTTTGGTCTCCACCACAATGTATTCTGTTTGTTTTGTACTGCCAAGGGCGTAGTTTGCTGCCGCCGCCGCTGTATAAATTACTCCTACTACTGATGCCCTTGTTGGTTTTAAGGACTACCCCTATGGGCTAATGCTTAATTTGTTTGTGATTGACTTATTATTATCATGTGCAAGTGAGCAGTGATGACAGTGAAGCGTGTAAAGTGAACCAGCTGCGTGTGTACCATAAATCAAAAGAGTGTTTTTTGTTTTTTGATGTTGGGTTTGGGAACCCGTTATGGGATGTTGATCTATTTAAGTTTAGTTGACAGATTTCTCAATGTTTTATCTGTCAGTTTTTTTTTGGTGAGCTGTCATCTGTTGATTGGACAAGAATCTCACAGATTTTGAGACAGTCCCAAAAATAAAATATCCATCTTTGTGGATTGTAATAGTAACAGCCGTAGCCGCCGATAGGCTGCCACGCTAAGCCTGTTTGGAATGCGGAATTTTTTTTTCTATGTTTTTCTTGTGAAATTGAACTAATTCTTGTAAAATTCCTGTATGATTACTATGAAATTCCTGCATTTCAAATAGGCCCTAAAGGTCGGTTACCTGCAAAAGGTTCGTGCCCACCTTGGCCGCACTTCCTCTTGATCAGATGCAGACTCATTGGATATACCAGTCTTAAATTTTTTATATTGAAGCCTGGCCCACACTTGTTTCTTGCGGCCTGTTCACGTGTTGGTTTCAGTTAGAGTTTATCAGCCAGCCAACAGTATTTTTCTCTCACAACAAACTAGCACCAACCAGGTTTATCAGCTCAGAAACCAACCAGCAAACAGGCCATTGATCAGCCCACCTATGCATGTACTACTTAAAAACAAAACTTTAGTCATACTACTACTTCTAAAAAAAAACTTTGGTCATACTACATTTATTTCAGCTTTTTGCTGATTTCAACCTAAAACAAACGTCAGCACTACTTTTCAGTCATAAAATAATGTTTTTCTCTCATAATATTTCAGCATAAGTATCAGCATGAGCTAAATTTCAGCATAAGTAACCATGTTCATGACTGAAAAGTAGTGCTGAATAAGTTCAAGCGAACGCTTTGACTTTCTTTAGTACATCCATTTTGCCATATACCTAAACATACGTTATTTTTAAATGCATAGTAAAGTTGATGTACCAAAAGAGTTAAGGCGACTTATAATTTAGAACGGATGGAGTAAAAGATAAAAAATAAAAAATAAAAGTCAGAAAGACATTTTTTGAGTTAAAAGCCTAAAAATTGTAGATCAAATAAATAGGTCGTATATCAGATTTCCCTTTTTTATTTTTTTGCTAGTGTTTTTTTTACTTCCTTCCATAACAAGAGGCAAGTATCAGTCTTAAATTTTTGCTTTTAAACATACGAACACTCATTATTTTTGCCTCCTTCGTACCATTTAAAACTAAAATCACGTAACAAGAGACGACGGTGATAAAACCTGGTATTATCCACCTGCGTGGATACCTCGGCGAGCATATCTATTTCGGCTCTCGTCACGAGCACGAATTGTACGTGTGCAAAAAATTTTGGACAGTTTTTGCTTGTGGGCTAACACTGACATGGACAGTGCGATCCACAAACCTACTACTGGCTTAGCAAAATCTGACGGATCTATCATGCAGAAAGACCATTGGACAACAGCTGACGTTCTGTCTGTGCCTGTGGATAGGCGGCGTTTTTTTTTTGAGCATGTGGATAGGCGGCACTTGAGAATTTGTCTAGGGCTGCTAAGTTCCGTTCCGGAAAAGTTTGCCCACGGGCTTCGATCCCATACACATCCAACGGTGCAGGGATGGGATCACGTGACCTTATAGTGGCAAAAAAGAAACCGTACTCGTGTTCCGTTCCAATTAGTTTGGTATTCTTCTGCGGTTGGCACTTACGTCCAGTCAGCTCAGCCGCCTATGGGGGAAAAACGAATTCGGTTGCCAATTTGGCCAAGGAGTCGTGTCGTGTGCGTGGAATACTTCGGAGAGGTAACCTGTCAGTCTGGGCACATGCTAACTGCAGCATATATATTCGCCCGACTTGGTGGCCATTTTGCGTTGGTCACCAGCTCTCTGCCGTAGTTGCCGTTGGTGGTGAAAGGGAGACAAATGGAGTCAGTCGCCGTGGTGGCCGTGCCCTTCCCGGCGCAGGGCCACCTGAACCAGATGCTGCACCTGTCGCTGCAGCTCGCGTCGCGGGGCGTGCCTGTGCACTACGCGGCGCCCGCGGCGCAGGTCCGCCAGGCCCGCGCGCGCTTGCACGGCTGGGACGAGCGCGCGCTCCGCTCCGTCGAGTTCCACGACCTCGGCATCTCCGAGTACGTCTCCCCGCCGCCCGACCCGACCGCGCCGTCGCCGTTCCCCACGCACCTCATGCCCCTGTTCGAGGCCTACACCGCCGGCGCTCGCGCCCCGCTCGCGGCGCTCCTCGCCGGGCTCTCCGCCTCGCACCGCCGCGTCGTCGTGGTGCACGATCGCATCAACGCGTACGCCGCCGAGGAGGCCGCGCGGCTGCCCAATAGCGAGGCGTTCGGGCTGCACTGCCTGGCGGCGTTCCCGCTCGCCGGGAAGACGGACGCCGGGCTCCGGCTCCTGCGTGACCGCGGCCTGGCGTTCCTCGACGTCGCCCCCTTCGTGTCGAGGGAGTTCGCGGAGTACGTGGCCAAACGCGCGATGCCGACCAAGGAGATCTCGCCTGGCTCGGGCATCCTCGTGAACTCCTGTCACGCGCTCGAGGGCGAGTTCATAGACGTCGTTGCAGGCGATCTGGCCGCCGACGGCAAGAAGTACTTCGCCATCGGGCCCTTGAACCCGCTGCTCGACCTCCACGCGGACGCCCAGAAGCAGAGCAAGCCGCGGCACGAGTGCCTGGACTGGCTGGACAAGCAGCCTCCGGCTTCGGTACTCTACGTGTCGTTCGGCACGACATCGTCGCTGCGGACGGAGCAGATCGCAGAGCTTGCAGCAGCACTGCGCGACAGCGACCAGCGGTTCATCTGGGTGCTGCGCGACGCAGACCGCGGCAACGAATCGGCGGAAGAAGACGAGAGCCAGAACAGACACGCGGAGCTGCTGTCCAAGTTCACCCATCAGACCGAAGGGAGGGGCAGGGTGATCACCGGGTGGGCGCCGCAGCTGGAGATCCTGGCGCACGGCGCCACGGCCGCCTTCATGAGCCACTGCGGCTGGAACTCGACTATGGAGAGCCTGAGTAACGGGAAGCCTATCCTTGCCTGGCCCATGCACTCCGACCAGCCGTGGGATGCGGAGCTGGTGTGCAAGTATCTCAACGCCGGCATCCTTGTGCGCCCCTGGGAGATGCACGGCGAGGTGATTCCGGCGGAGGCCATCAGACAAGTAATCGAGGATGCCATGCTTTCGGACCAAGGAGTGGCAGTGCGGCAGCGAGCGAAGGTGCTCGGAGAGGCCGTCCGTGCCTGCCTGGCTGACGGCGGCTCATCGCGCAAAGACCTTGATGATTTCATTGCTCATATCACAAAGTAACCGTCTAGTCCAAGTTAAAATTCTATCGAATACTTTGAAATTTGTTCTCCAAGTTACTGTCATCACTTCGTTCTTCGTTGCCGGATGGGCAACAGTCTGAAGCAAACAGGACAAGAGCGTAGAGCTAGGCGACCAATAAACGTGTAATGGGTTTGGAATGGGTAAACTTGCTTGTTAGCACTGATCGGGCAAGGCCCATGGCCCCATGTAATAGAGAGGTTTAGATTATAAAACCTGAAGAGATGACACAGTTTGGAGATGCTACAAGTAGCTAGGAGATGGTTGCGCTGTTTCTGGCTTCCTACGACACAGTTGACAATTGGCCGAGACGATCTGAAGTCCTCCAGATTCTATGAACCAGGCAAAGAGCTTGCGTCTTGGAGGTGCCAAAGTTTTTTCTAAAAAAAGGTTTTGAAATTAAACTTAGTGGATCCAGTGAATTGGGCTATGTAAACTGATGCGATGGTGAATTCCCCGTGTGCGTCTACTTCCAAGTAATTCGGTCATGCATGCCTATGTTAGGCCTCGTTTCGTTTGTTCCATATTAAAAACAGGCATGTTTCTCTTTCTGGGTCTAATTGAGTGGATCCTGATGGTTCACTGAAACTTGGTTTGGTTCGATTCTAAGTGCTCCAAGGTGTGGCTCCAATTCGGGCTAAGGAGAGGGTGGAAAGGCCTAGAATAGCCTGGTTTCATTCTGGATCGGGCCTATCAGAACAATCATTTCAGGTCTATCCTATTTTCAATCTGGGCCAAATAATTCCAGATGGAACAGACCGTGTTTCAGGCTGTTCTAGGCCAAACCGAATGAGGCCTTAAGGATGCACCTCTTGCAAGGAAATCCACAATGGGACTGGTACCTCCTTCAGCAACTGGATGGACAATTAGGTGTCCCCTCCATCCCAAATTATAAGTCATTCAAACTTTCTTAGATAGTCAAAGCACCTCAAATTTAACCAAGTTCATATAATTAAATAATAATAAAAGAATAACATTTATGATATCAAATAAGTATAATTAAATTCTTCATTAATTATATTTTTTCATAGTACATCTATTTGATGTCATAAATCTTTGTATTTTTATAATTTTGATCAAATATGAGATGCTTTGACTCTCAAATAAGATTAGAATGACTTATAATTTAGAACGGAGGGAGTAGTTATGTTTATGTCCTGGAGCTTATTGCCTAGAGCCTCTTTGCTCATTCTATATTTTTCCATTTGGACGTTTTGAACATGGTAGGCGTAGCATCTTTGAGTGTCTGGCCCTGCCATGATGCTGAATGCCAGAGTATGGCTTGCGACCCATCTCCTAGTCCACTCATAGGAAAGCCGATCATCTCCAAGAGTTTCCCTATCCGATCTCTGAGAGTCAAAATTAAGGTTTGTCTGACAAACATCACTCTCCAACAATTCCCCCTATTTAAGCTCCTATATTTAGGGTATACTAAACTAAATAACCTTTTTCTGTTGGAGAAGATAAGTATTTAAAGAAGATTTTTTGTTAGAGTGCACCCTCTGATTTAGAGGGGTTTTTAGTGAAGAAGGAGAACTCTTGAGATTTTTTTTTTATTTTTAACACTTTTTTAAACTATTTTCAAATCTGACATTGATTTTTTTTTTAAATCTAACACTTTTGGCCGCGCCTATTGTCCTAGCATGGCAAAACCACGCTGTTGCACCATGCATAGCGGCGCGGCAGAGTGGGTGACGTGGCAGGGGCCTGGGCCCTGACAGATGACGTGGCAGGCGCTGCCGCGTCGCAGATCTTGGCGCGGCAGTGCCGTGCCACCCGTCATGGCGCGGCGAGGCCCGACTTAAATCTCGTGCCGCAGGCTCCCTCCCTCTCCGCCTTAGTTCGAAGAAAGGTGGAGGCAGCTCCAGCGGCCGCGCCGCCGCCTCCCAACTCCCCCAAGCCCGACCGCCGCCCTGCCCTCCCTTGCCGTCTCCGTCCCTACCTTCTTCCCCCAAGCTTCTCCTCGTCCTCGGTCAAGGCAACGATGCTCTTATTAGTAGTTTGAACGGTGGATTAAGGATTAGGATTGGTACCTAGGGTTTGGAGGAAAATATTAGTTCATTTCAATGGTGGATTTAAGGATAAGGATTAGGATTGTCAATGTTAAGATTAATTAGTTAGTTAGAAGTATGTTTACCATGTTTAGTGTAAGATTTAGTTTTGTTCCTATAAGTGTTGGTTATATTATTTTAGTTATAGGTTCTCTTTTATATTAATTTGTGATGTTTTCATTGATGTTAAATTACAACCGTTTTATTAGATGGAAGACATGTTTCGGGAGTAGTTGTGGCGAAAACAGGGTTGTCCTAGAGAATTATACCCCGACGCTTCTAGCAAAGATGCCCCCGTCCCTCCTGACCTCTCGGTCCCTAAGTGTGATTGTGGTTTCTCGGCCGACGTGTTTCAATCGAGACATACGGACACAGCGGCGCGTTGCTTCTACACATGTAGTCGTTTTAATGTAAGTAATTATTTCCATACATTTTTTCTTCATTTGTGTTAGTAGGTGTCGGGGACCTAATACCGGGGTACCCAATGAGGTGGAACTAATAACCATCGAACGTCGACACTTTCGGTTAGGCAAGAACACTACCGCGCTTCTTACCCGAACGACAGGAGATTGGTTTCGCCTCGCCCGACCCCCGAGGACTAGGCTCCGCCTCGCCCGATGGCTCAGGACGGGCTATGCCTCGCCCGACGCCCTAGGGCGGGCTCCGCCTCGCCCGACGTCCGAGGACTAGGCTACGCCTCGCCCGACGTCCGAAGGCTAGACTCCGCCTCGCCCGACGTCTGAGGGCTAGACTCCATCTTGCCCGAACCCCCAAGGGCTGGGCTCCGCCTCGCCCCACGACCGCGCCCTGATCCTTCATAAAGACGAGCATAGGGTTCGACAGGACATTCGAGACAACCATGGTATCGAGGGCCATGCCCTGTGCGCCTACAGGAAGGTACCGTCAGACTACGATATGACAGGTGCTTTTCGCCCTTTCCATCATAAACAGTGCCCGAATAGTGTTGTGGGCGCCGACTTTTGTCCCACAGTGTAGTAGGCGCCGCCTTCAGCCCTCGGGCGCAGATACTAACACAGGCATACGACAGCCACTACGGTCCAAGACAGAACTCACATCATCTACAGTGATGGGAGTGTGATCACTTCCCTGATTACTCCCCGAGGAGTCACAGCTTGGCTCTCCGGCACGTCGCACCATCCGCCAGCATAGGATGGGACGCACCCACTCGCTAAATGGGGCTAGGGTATGGTCTACGAAGATCAGCGAACACGCCACCTCTGACACGGTCTGCCATGTTAAAGCAGGGCAGGCACAGGGAAAAAGGAAGATTCGGCTCCCTCGAAGGACCTTCTATACCTTTGGTATTTTTCTCTTTCTCCCATCTGTAACCCCTGCTCCCCCCTTGGTCTATAAAAGGGAGGACAAGCCTCCCCACTAAAGGGGGACTTTTTGACCGACTTTGGACAGATCAGTTCAACACACAACACATCACACATACGGCCAAGCAGCAACCAAGCTCTTGGCATCCTTTCGACCATTCCATCAGAGACTTGGGACCTTTCCCTCTCTCGACCGTTTGTACCCCCTACTACGAACATTTTTTTGTACTAATAACACGAGCAGCAGCAGACTAGACGTAGGGACGTTCGGTCCGAACCAGTATAAACCTTGTGTCCTTTAGTGCACCATCTGGGCCTAATGCGCAACAATTATAAATTTACTAGCCGGTGTTTGTTCGAAACACCGACAGTTGACACGCCAGGTAGGGGCCTTTGCGCATTCCAAATCAGGCCTCGGATGGCTAACCACGCAATCAGCTGGGTCCCGGGCGCACACGTGCGTTTCGGTGACCTGGACTTCATTGTCATGGTGGGAGGAGAATTGGCATTGGCCCATCTCACCATCCAATCTCTCCCCTCCATCGGCTCTGGCTACCGGAGGCTTGAGTGCCAGCCCGGCGTCTCCCTTGGACCCCAGCCATCTAGGGAGGCCCCGCGCTGCCTCGCCCTCTCTCCGGAACGCTCCACACGGAGTGCCTCAATGGTGTTTCCGTTCGGTCTCTGCAGCGCCGCGGCGACCATAAGCCACCTTGTGGCCCAGCGCGCGATCCCATCCCCCGCGAACAACGAGTTCGTGGGGATGATCGAAAGCGTCACAGAATCCCTCCACGGCCTCCTCGCGGAAGGTTTGGGGTCGGACTCTAGCTCTGACTCCGGTAGGGGGAGCCATCATCCCTCCCGGGAATGCTTCATGGCGAAAACCTCCGAGGGACACATCGAAAAAGCCTTCGAGAAGGAGGTCACCCCGGCAGGCAACCTCGGCGACGGAACCAAAGGAAGAACGGTGGCCCAGAAATGTAATAGCAAGCGTGTGACTAGCCTATCAGCAGGGTGAGCAGGGGTAAGGTTGCGTCAAGGTAAAGGCCATCAAGAAGACATACTACCCTGCAAGTCCTACCATAATGTGATCATGACAATAAAGTAAGCACTAGCATTTCTATATTAGCCATGCGTAATAGGTGCTACGAGATTGGGTGGGATGTGGCACCTTTAGTCTAGTCATCTCCGTACTCCTCACGGTACTCACGATCCTCGTCCGTCCGGTTCTCCTCCGTGTCTACAAACGACCGCATTATAGTCGCGTTAGCGACGTCTATAGAATAGCACAAAGAAGCAATGAAAATTCAAAAGAACCAAATGCACTCAAGCATGGGTCCATTGCGTAGAGCTCGATTTTAGATGAATTTTGGTCCTGGTTTTGTATTTTTCTGAGGTCATATGAATTAGTTATGAATTTCCGAAGATTTAATCCATTTCTAAAAATGGAAAAAGGCTGAATTAATCCTGGGCTGACACGTGTCACGCTATGGTTGGTCCACGTGGCTTGCTGATGTCAGCAAGACATCACCTCGGCCGTGCTGCTAATGATAAGTGGGTCCCGCGTGACGTCAGCACGACGTCAGCATCTGAC